CACTTTTCCTTCTTTCTCTGACGGCGGATTTAGGTCAGTAGAATAGACGCTGCCGCCCAGTGGTTTGTAAGTCCATCATTTGTGAATCATGTATCCGCAGCATTGACCGTCGAGTTATTTATAGCATGCCGGTAAGTGTTGGGAAGATCACCCGTGTTGTTTCCTGCTCAGTCCATTTCAGCATGGACTGCTCCGATACAAGTGCTTGTCTGTCTGGTCATACTCCTTGTGCAGGTGAGGCGTATCATAGTGGATATCTTTAGTTGGATTTTGACTCTCCAACAGCTTGGTCCAGCTGCTCTAGCTGGTTTCGCGCTATTTCTTTTGATGGTACCGATGTCTTCCCTAATAGCATCACATCAATTCAAGATTCGGAGAAAGTCAATGAAATTTACGGATCAACGGTCGAAGACGCTTCTTGAAGTGCTTGGTATGTTCGTTTTACTTTTCGGGGGGCACGTCTGAACTGAAGGCGAACACATAGGCGGTATGCGGGTTGTGAAATATTTCTCTTACGAGATCGCTTTCCTGAAACGTAAGATATCAGCGTTAGAATATTCGACATTATAAACCCTGACATGGCGCAGGGATCAACGAAGTCCGCGAGAATGAGCTCGAGGGCGTTAAGAAAATTTCGCACTCTCAATCAGCTAGGTGGGCGGGTAATCCCATTTGTCCTAGTTACGTCGCTGACCCTCAAATAGTGTCGCCTTCGCATACTCGACACCGGTTTTGGCAGCGACGCTATCTTTATTGGTATACACCAAGATAAACCCGGATTTTGACGTTGCCGTGGTATTCGCATCACTTAGCTTATTCCAGTTACTCCGTCAGCCCATGATGCTTCTTCCTCGTGCTTTATCGGCGATCACAGACTCCCGTAACGCCTTTCAGCGGCTATCTGCGGTGTTTGAGGCAGAACTAATGCCTGAGAACGCGTTCACCATCGACAAGGACCAAGAATATGCACTGGATGTATCGGGTGCTACTTTCGAATGGGAAGAAACGCAAGGTGGAGCGGCCAAGAAACCGTTTCAAGTACAGGATATAACGATGCAGGTCAAACGCGGGAGTTTAACCGCCGTCGTTGGGCGGGTTGGGTCTGGAAAGTCGAGCCTGTTACAGGGCTTGATTGGCGAAGTGCGCATGCTTTCCGGGAAAGTGACTTTTGGTGGCGAGCTTGCCTACTGCCCCCAAGTAGCATGGATTCAGAATGCGACACTGGTAAGCGGATAAACTTTAACTAGATCCTAGCAACGCTAACATCTGGATAGAGAGAGAACATCTTATTTGGACGCCCTTATGATGAAGAGCGTTATTGGAAAGTCATTGATGATTCTTGTCTTCTACCAGATCTTCGATTGCTGGCCGACGGTGATTTGACGGAGGTAGGTTTGGCAGATTCGTTGTGACCCTCTCTCACCATCTTTGTTTAGATCGGAGAAAAGGGAATCAACTTAAGTGGGGGCCAAAAGCAACGCGTACGTCTGATGTTGCCTTTCGTGTAAATCCATGTGTTAACTTAAAAATAGATCAACATTGCAAGGGCTTTGTACTCTAGTGCAGATGTTTTAATCTTTGATGACCCGCTTTCAGCTGGTACGTACCCGAAATACCTATGGTACCATGTCCCTAACAACACGCCCTAGTCGACGCCCACGTTGGGAGATCCTTGTTCCACAATGCTATTTTGAATTCAGTTCGGACTCTAGGAAAGACGGTGATCCTAGTCACTCATGCACTACACTTCGTCTCGTACTGCGATGAAATCTACATGATTGAGAACGGCTTCATCAAAGAGCACGGTACTTACCAAGGGGTCGTAGAGAAGGAAGGGGACCTTGCACGACTTACTGCAGAGTTTGGTGGAGCCAATGACTCGGATTCCGTATCCGACGGGAGTTCTAATACCGCTCAGGATGATTCGATTGATGAAGAGAAACAACGGTCCCAAGCGAAGGCGGCTGGCACCGGAAGACTCGAGGGGCGTTTGATCGTGAAAGAACGACGTACAACTGGATCTGTCCCAGCGAAAGGTAGCTTCTATTTTTGTGCAAGATATTGTCACTGACCCCATCTAAGTGTACTGGAAATATCTTAGCGCAGGACGTGGATTCTTAACCATGCCTCTGTTGTTGCTATCAATTTTCTTTATGCAAGGGAGCCAAATCATGAATACCTATACCCTTGTTTGGTGGCAAGCGAAGTAAGTACTTGTTTCTGTGTTGCCTCGAGCTTTTCCTCATTTTCTGTTAGTACGCTTGACCGTCCCTTCTCATTCTACCAAGGCCTCTACGCTGGCTTGGGGATTTCTCAGGCCATCTTCACCCTCACACTGTAGGTGTTGCATGATTGTTTTTAAATTTTCCTGGCTCATCCTTCTGTAGAGGAATCGTCATGGACACCATATCTTGGTTCGTCTCTGGAAACCTACACCACGAGGCTGTCCGCAATATCTTCTATGCGCCCATGTCATTCTTCGATACAACGGTCTGTGAATTTTACCTCTATAATAATCTTCTCGAGGCTTATCTCGGCGTCAGCCCGTGGGTCGCATTATGGGAATTTTTGGGAAGGACACCGATTGTGAGACCCTTTTTCTATGATTACGGTGCATCGATTCTGATGATATTTCAGCTATCGACAACCAGCTACCTAGTAAGTGCCCTCTCGCTTCAGTCAAACTTGTCTCACTAAATGCAACGAATAGTTTCCATGAGGCTTCGTAAGTAATGCCTTAACATATTGTCCTACAATTCCTAATGTCATGTCACGCAAAGTTGCATTGACTTTATCCAGCGTCGTAGGAGCCGTCGTGATCATTACTGTGGTGGAGCATTACTTCAGTACGTCAGACACGTCCTATCAAGTTGACCGAGGCTAAGGATTGTTGAAGTCATTGTTGTTGTCGTTATATCGTTGGGTTATCAGCATTTCCAAGGGTACTATCGCGCGAGTGCCCGAGAAGTGAAAAGACTAGGTTCGTTTCCATGCCCGTGTGCTGGGGCCCACTCTTACAAGAAACACACAGATGCAATGCTCCGTTCCATCCTCTATGCTCATTTTTCAGAGTCACTCACAGGTAAGTCGTCCCCACTCTGGCAACTCACAACAAAGACGAAATCGTTCTAGGGCTTCCAACTATACGTAGTTATGGCGAAACGACAAGGTTCTTGCGAGAAAACAAGTATTATATTGACCTCGAGAATCGCGCATTGTTCTTAACCGTGTCAAACCAACGGTAAGTAAAGATGACTGTACTGGGGATATCGATCGTGGTTTTGACTTGTTCGTAGTTGGTTAGCCGTTCGCCTCGACTTTTGTGGTGCGATAATGGTAGTCGCTGTGCGTAAACCTCATGGTTAAGCTTTCTCGAGGCTGATGTACTTACAGGTCGCCATCTTCGTTGTCGTTGGAGCCACCGCTATCAATCCGGCTCAGGTTGGCCTCGTGTTGACGTATACAAGTGTGTTACTACATAACTGCTGCAAAATACCACCTTCTAAATTTATTTTAGCCTCTTTGACACAGCTGTGCGGGTTGCTGACAAGACAGACTGCTGACGTCGAAGTGAGTTTGCTTTCCATAGAGTTTCGCCCACTTTGCTGAAATGCCACGATCAGAATTATATGAATTCTGTTGAGAGAGGTGCGTATCGTCGGGTCCCGTTGGAGGACACGAGTTCACTGACATGCGTTAGTCGTTCACTACAGCCGCAAGGACATGATCGAGCAGGAAGCGCCGCACGAGGTTCCAGAGAATAAACCCTCTGCGGATTGGCCTCAACACGGTTCAGTCGAATTCAACGATGTCAAGATGAGCTATAGACCTGGTTTGCCAAACGTCTTGCATGGTATTTCCATGTCAGTCAAAGGAGGCGAGAAGGTTGGGGTCGTAGGTCGAACGGGGGCTGGGAAATCATCTTTGGTTTTGACCTTACTTCGCATCGTGGAGTACTCGGGGCAAATCACGATCGATGGGTATAACCTTTCACTCATCTGGACTGGGGGAATGCTGACGTTTATATTGCCTAACAGCGTTGATATCGGTAAATTAGGACTTCGTGACCTCAGGACGAAAGTATCGATTATCCCTCAGGATGTAAGTGTCCTGTTTATCATTGCATGTTTTAAGTCAAACAAATGACCACCAAAAGCCTCTTATCTTTAGCGGAACTGTCCGAACGGCTCTGGATCCTTTCGGACTTTTCGAAGATGCTCGACTGTGGGATGCGCTGCGGCGGTCTTCTCTCATTGGGCCTGGATCTCCAGGACACGACTTGTCCGAGGGCCAAGCTCCTATCACGCTCGACACTGTGATCGAACCAGAAGGTGCTAACCTGAGTGTGGGCGAAAGGTCTCTTCTCAGCCTCGCTCGTGCTCTTGTCAAGAACTCCAAAGTAGTTATACTCGATGAGGCCACGTAAGTCATTGCGCTTTCCGGTGAGGCTAGTTTATTGACCCCGGATCAGTGCTTCTGTGGACTTAGAGACCGATAAAAAAATCCAGCACACGATTACGACTGAGTTCCGAGACCGCACGCTGCTGTGCATTGCCCGTGAGTAGCACTTTTGTACGTTCTAGGCATGTTCTGATGTTCTATAGATCGTCTACGTACGATTCTAAGCTATGATCGTATCCTTGTCCTCGATGCTGGTTGTGTTGCGGTCAGTGAAATCATCCCCCTATCATTAAAGCGTGACACTCAATTTATGAGTAGGAATATGATACGCCCGAGAAATTGTTCCAGAAAGGGGGAATCTTCAGAAGCCTTTGTGAACGAAGCAACATATCTTTACAAGATATTCAGACCGCATAGATGATGAACTCTATAGGACCTCACTCACTCTGGCGCATACAACTCAACTGATAGATTAAACTACGTGACCGCCTGTGGATATATTGTGAAATAACTAAAAAGATACTTTAAATCCCTTGAGGTTTTATCACTTATATTCAATATTTGAGCCGCAGAAAATTGTTCATTGGATGTTCGCCCAGTGGACATTGTGGGAATTGAACCCACGACCTTTCGCATTTCCGGCGTGCGAAGCGAATGTTATACCCCTAAACTAAATGCCCTTAAAGAATCATTCGTTAATGACGTCAGTCCACACGTGACGAAACAAGGACATTGTGCTGCAAGCTTTTGCCTTAATTTCAAGACTTTCATCAATCAGAATGGCCGCTGCTCCCAACAGTGAACACGCGCAAACTCAAAGCAAAGTATGCGTTAATGTCAAGCTCTGCGATATTTAATGACACTGATCACTCGCAGTCCAAAACGAAAGCCAAAAATCGATATCTACGGCGAAAAAAAGAGAGACGTAAACTACGTGCAAAGCAACGGACTGGCCCAAATGATATCAGTGCAACAGCTGGGGACGATGACAGTGGGTCTGAGGTCTCGGATGAAGGGTCAGAACTCGATGACCCCAATACGGAGGCTGGGGTGCTCTCACCACCACCACCGAAAGTTGATTCTTCGCCGCAACGACCTCTAAAACGTCAAAAAACGCTTCCAAAAGCCAAAATGGATGTTATATCCCCAGGGGTAGTGCAAGATGATGATGGTGCAGACGTTCAAATGGATCAGGACGTGCCGTTACAACCCACCAAACAACGTTCACCCACGCCGCCTCCCCTGCCTATCTTTCCCTTGCCTGCCCTGCCAAATGCACCCTCAAAGTCAACACTGGCTCTTCAAGGTCTTGATAAGGCTTTAATCGATGCACTTGTTGTCGATCCTGATGTAGTGCTACCTGTACCTGCCGACGGTCCAAACGACGGGGGTACTCGACTGAGCGAGAAAATGAGAAAGCGGCTTCACGATACTGGAATTACTGAGCTATTTGCGGGTGCGTCGTTTTTTATGCCATGCATTCTTGAGGCTGAACTCCCATAGTCCAAACGTCTCTGCTCCCTTTCCTCATACCATCTTCCAATATTCAGCGCCAGTTGTATATTCCCAGACAGCCTCCCCGTGATGTTTGCGTTTCTGCACCAACGGGCAGTGGGAAGACTCTTTCGTATATTCTGCCGATCATCGAGGTCAGTAGCTCATGCTCGCATCGTAGCACAAACCTCAGAATGACAATCTAGATTCTTTCATCCAGAATTGTTACCCAGTTACGTGCACTAATCGTTTTGCCTACAAGAGATCTTGTCGCCCAAGTCCATGAAACTTTTGAGGTACTTGGGAAAGGTCGTGGGTTGAAGGTGCGAAATATCTGGGATTCTATTCTCGCAAAAGTGACAGTGTTAGTAGATTGGAACCGCTACTGGCCAACATTCTTTTGCCCACGAACAAGCCCGCCTGGTCAACGACCGAACATCCAGGCAAGTGATCAAATGAGAACCATTGAGGACCCCTATACCGACGACCTCTATACTGACGAATTATCCAGTTTACTTGGCGGATCCAGCAAAATTGATGTCCTCATATGCACTCCTGGCCGGCTGATGGACCATTTGAACGGGACACCGAATTTCACCTTGCAACATCTACGTTTCTTGGTATGTGATCATTTAAAAAAAGCAGCTTTATATCCTACGAGGGATAATTTCTAGGTGATTGATGAAGCCGATCGTCTGCTGGCACAATCATTCCAGGATTGGCTCGCGCAGGTTCTGGCTGCTACACGTTCACCAACTATTCATAGTAGCACTCAAACGACGAAAACAAACCACTGTCCCCATCCTGATGCTGTTGCACCCAATGTAGTCCAACAGCTACCCTTTCCTCATCTCCCAACATTCCCGACCGAGGCGCATGAAAGCTCATGTCAAAAACTATTATTCTCAGCAACCTTGACCCGTGACCCAGGCAAGATTGCGGCACTTGACCTCAGAGAGCCTAAGTATTTTGTCGTACAGAAGAGTAAGGATCTCGACGAGCAGAATCACGTCCTTGACGTCATGGAAAAGTTCTCCATGCCCTCTACGTTACAGGTAATGTCCGTTGATGAACGAGACTGTCCACCTTGCATTGATGATCCAATATAGGAACACATGATTGTCTGCGAATCATCACAGAAACCACTCATGTTCTTCCACCTCGTATTCGGTCGGATGGTGACCGACGCACTTGTGTTCACTAAGTCTGCAGAGTCCACGGCGCGATTAGTCAAGCTATTCGACTTCTTCCAAAAATGGCGGCAGAGCAGGTCCGAGGATCCACCCCTGGTCGTTCGCGCATATTCTAGCGACCTACCAATGGGCGAACGGAAAACAATCCTAGAGCAGTTCAAGGCACAGGAAATCAATATGTGCGTAGTGATTAACTCTCGTGGCTTTTCTCTTATAAAACATCCATAGCCTTATTTGCTCTGATCTCATTTCCCGAGGCATTGATATCAGCCACGTTTCTCATGTCGTCAGTTACGACGTCCCTGTTGATATGCTCAAGTACGTGCATCGAGTGGGCCGGACAGCAAGAGCTGGCAGGGTTGGCTGTGCATGGACCTTGGTCGAGGAACAAGAGGTCTTTTATCTCTCTTGTAACCGTAAGCATGATTCTCACATTTTAGTAGGCTCGTTACTTCAAGCACATGCTAAAAGAAGCGGATCATTTGGATCATATTAAAAGGTTGCGTGTGAGCGACAAGGACCTCTCAGCGCTCACACCAGGCTATGAGGTACGAAGCGCCCAGCTCAAAATCTCAATCTCAATCTCAATCTCATTAATTTCCTCTAAGGTGGCATTAAAGCAACTCAAAGATGTTTATACTCGATCATGAAAAGAGATACTGGGGTATTAAGTTTAAGTCTATCCCAGTAAACCCTTGACATACTTCATTAGATCTTTCCCCTGTGATTTCAATGAGTTGTGATTAGCTGTAAGCAGGAAGCGAAGACTTACTCCTCGAGACTTCACGCCTGCCACCATTGCCTTTACTCCATCTACCTCCATGGCTTCCGTAGAGTCCTTACTAGTATCACCTTGAGGAGCGAAAATATCATGATCTGGCGTCTGCTTCTGGCCCAATCCATAACGAAGAATGACGGTCAATACCGCCCGCCAGCCCTCCATAACGCTCTCCTGGTTGGTTTGGGGTATGTTAAATTGGCCGCTATTTGATGAGCCAGAGGCCGGAACGGGCAGCGCTGGAATGGCTGTAGAGCGCACTACGTAAGGACAGTACGAGCGGTGTTCGCGCAAAAGGTCGAATTGACGCTGTTGCACTGTTTTTTGTGGAGTGGATGGGATGGGCGAATCTGGATTCGCATCGCTACCAGATTTTGTAATGGTTGTTGGCCGTGCAAGGAATGTCCAAAGGCCAATACGGCGTTGACAAAGGACGCATTGGAGGAGTGTATCACGTTTGTTGAGAATCCCGGTGGTGGGTATATTGAACTTGACTGGCGTGCCTCTAGTAGGGGTAGCTGCGCGGGAGAGTGATGGTGTGCGAGCAGGAGTGCCAGGTACTGGAGTACCACTCCTTGAAAATGATGATTTCCGTGTTTCTGGGCCGGTCGTTGGGGGGACAAGAGACCAGCCGAAGAGCGCAGCAAGGATGGCAGTCTCAGAAGGGGGTTCCATGGTCAGTTGTTGGCCGACAGCTTCTTCAGAACTTGCAGGAATACTATAGGAGATTATCGTGGATTTGATGGTGTTCACCTGCGTTTGGGTCTATTTTCTCAATGTAAGCGAGTAGATGGAATTGGATCTGATGCCACCTACCAATGGATGTTTAGTAGTGACCTCTTGCAGTGGTTCATTGAGAGACATAGCAGTGACCTTGATCCCTCTGACGGCAGCAGCTGGTGACTGCAAGGGGATACGGTATATCGATGCTGCAATCGACTTGAGCTCAAGAGGGAAAAACTTGAGAGGGGAGTTTACTCACGGTCGCACTGTCTTAACTTCCATGGACACCCTTGTTTATGAGCCTCCACCAAGGAAAGGCGCTGTTTTTCAACTAAGACGTTTGCTTCAAGGGTTGTCGTCAATAAACCGCATATACATCGAAACATAAGGAAACTCACCAGCCTCTCGAGACATCCCATCTCTCCCTGCAACTACCCACGAGGCACCACAGATACCACAAACCAGGCGGTCCTTCCCGTCGTTTATCCATCCACATTTAGATGCTGCAACCGCATCAATTTGCGGTGGTTTGTTCGCGTATGTGGCAAGTTTGAATGTGGCGAGTCGAGACAAGAAGGACGCAACAGATGACGGTCGGTATTCGGCATTCGAAGAAAAGGTTGAGTTAGACGAAGCTGCTTGTTTATCAGAGCGAAATGAGAATAGGCTTTTCGTCCGAGTAGTAGCACGAGCCAGAATGGCAGATAAATGAGGTGTTGGTTTCGTCAGACCTGCTGGCGCAGTAACACTAAAAGACATGATTGAGACATTTTCCGTGGGAAGGAGAAAGGACGAGCGTACGAGGGTGGTGCAGTTGATCTCGTAGAAACTCCATATTTCGCAAGAGTTGAGTAAATGGAACGCGACGTATTACTTCTCTTAGGTGGACGAGGATCGTCCTCATGTGTTATTACCGAGTTATCCAATTCAAGAAATGCATCGTCGAGCTTTCTCTGTTGTAATGTTAGTTCTATCCGTCTGAAAGTAACAATGATCCTCTACCTTTGTGGCACGAAACTGATCTTGAGGTTCAGCAGTTGGGTGAGAGGCCATTCGTTTCAGGCGTACACGCGACCATTGAATTGGAATAGAGCTTGCTGACTAAGCAAATGTCTAGATAGGCGTTTAGCGTAGTCAGCAGGCACACTTAGCACACTAGCAAGGGGTGTTTAAACCGAGCCCGAAAATCGAAAAATCTCAGAAAGCTCTTGCTTGTGAGGCACGCTTCGGGAAGAGGATGTGAAATTCTTCAAGACGTGCACTAGAACCGAAGATGGCGAAGAGTTGGCGAGGTATATAGTCGACGTCGCGGCAAAAGCTTATAAAATACGTGGCCGAACACCTAAAAGTACAGAGCGTGTTGACTTATAAGGTGGAACTAGGTGTTCAATTGGTCGTGTATTGCTTTATTTGAATTTACAAAATGCGCCTATTCGCCCATCGAAACCTAGATCGGCGACTAACACCATTTATCTACCAAGTTTGAAAGTAT